ATGAGTATATTAAATAATTCCACGTGAGATTCATTTATATGCTATGTTGGTCTTTGTATATAAATCACGTTTATGAGCGAAGGAAGGCACGCGTAAGCAATTATAATTCTTTGAGATTCCATTGTTTTCTTTTGATTCCCAACGCTTGTAACAAGGTTGCACAAGGGTGAAAACCCAAGGGAATTTAATATTTGTGATAAAAACTTCTTCATACTTCAAATATGTAGTAAATATCGACGAGAATAACAGCATTAATTGTCGACAAATTATGATCGAAATTAATAATATAAACATTCGAAGTATTAGCATTCAATTTTCTTATATTAACTCTCTTACATAAAATAATATATCCTACACGATGAAAATATTATATCCTTAAAATTCTTTGAATAAACAATTGTTAATTTAATTAATATTAGCAGATATATAATATTTGAATAGAAGAAAATATCTCTTTTTTTTATGTCTACTAAAAGTATGTTTTTAGATAAATTTATTACAAAGATATTATCAAAATGATAAATGTAGAACAAATTTGTGAAAGATATTCTAAAAGATAATAGTTTGTTAATAGAAATCTTTCATTGGTAACTTCTATTTTAATTTCAGAGTTTCTTTTCTCAGTCGTTATTCTCACCGATATATATTCATTTAATAATCTCTCAGAAGCTTGAGATATTCCATTTTTAGACTTACAAGAATGTCTGTTGTAAAAACTCTGTTTTGATTCAATTGTTTTCAATTAATATCGACCAAAGAGTCGGCGGCACATTATCGACTTCGGAGAGATATTTGCTCAGATTTTTATTATTTGGAAGATAAAAATTTGCCTAATGGCTACCTGGAGTGTTTTGAAGACACTCGTTTTGCTTTAAAAGATTTGCATACGGAGCCGAAGACTGTTTTTAGACTTCGTTAATCAATCATCAGCTCGAAATGGACTGCACCAATTTTGTCATTACGGCTGTGCTTGATATTTTTCGCCCACGCTTTGCATTCGACATTTATCAGAATTCCGGCTGAAAATGAAAGATAAATATAATGTAATTCGTACATTTGTGCATTTTTTCGTTTAATTTCAACAGATTCTCGATTGTCAACTTATATATGTACTATATATAATACTTACTTCGTGGTCTGACAAAGTGCACTGCAACCAGTGGGCTCAAGTAACCTTCGGAATTTTCGTAAGGATAAAAGTAACCGGGAAAACCACGTCGTGGCAAATAATTAATTGGACCAATATTTTCCTGATCGGCAGGATTTTCACCTTCGCAGGATACCCAGATGGTATTCAGTTGCAAGGAATTATTTCCTTTCAAACTCGCAATGTGTTCTTTGAGATCGAGCGGCATTTTTTGTGGTAAATTTTCAGTATCGTTGTAAAATTCTGGTCTCCAACCATAAATCTGATAAACAAAATTGTTATTAAAAAACATAATATTTCTGTTAAATGCTGATTTTGATTTAACATTAATTGCTAGTTTATAGAAGAAAATAAATAATATTATATTATATAAAAAATATTATATTAGGAAAAATCAAATTAATTCTGCATTATGATCTACGTACTTTATTCAATTTAAGGAAAATACAAGGAGCGGATTTGTGATAATTATATCTGTTCTCCTTGGTGCAAGGATACCAATTTTTCACATCAACATCACAAACTTTTCCGGGTGGTGGCGGCTGATTGTAATCACATTTGTTGATGTTAGCACCAAGACCAAGAACAGATCCAGGTGTTATATAATCTGAAATATTACAATAAAATACCGATTTTATATTTAGTAATTAAAAAATTAAAAATTAATTAGGAATGAAAGCTAATTAGGAATGCAGCTAGAATTCATATAATACTTGGTATCATAAATGGATTCCTTTTTTATTGCGAGTAACTACCTTTTAAGAAATTTTGTAATGAATCAACCCAGTGTTTGAAGTTTTCATTGTCGGTACCTCTGTACCAAATCAAAGTGCTCTCTACATTCTCTGTCGGCGGCATTGGTCTGAATCCCAATCCTGCGAAGCGTAACATCATTATTAATTTTAACATTTTTAGCATTCTATCTTAATTTTTCTATCTTAATTTTTTATTCAAAATGTATAAACTACAGAAATAATATTTTACAAATAATTTGAAAAAATCACAATGGTTATCAAACATTTAATAAAATTGTCTTTTTACTCTTTATATATCGTGCTTACTTTAAAAAGCAATTTACCTGGATTTGTTCCAATGATAGATCTTTCGAGCTGCCACCTTGGTATTCTTGGGTCCAGTGTTTGAAAGAATCCCCAGAAACAAATGGCAACGAGTGCCGCAAGAACGCCGTAGAATATTAGATAAAATAGTCCGATTTTACCTGTAAAAATTAAATACGACTTTACCTGTAAAAATTAAATAAAATTTTCTTAAAAGAAAAAATGAAAAGAAATAATAAAATGAATAAAATATGCCGGACATAGTCTTTTTTAAAAAGTTGAATCATTCCAAACAACATTATCAAAAATTTTCCGATCGAGCTATAAATATTTCCGAGTAAACAATTGAAAAAAATAAGATTATTTGATTTGAAAATCTATTTTCAATTCTCTATTGTTTCAGAAATTTATTTTCTAATTCGCATTCTTTCGCATTTAGTACCTTTTAATATCTTACTACTATTAATTTCTAACCGAAAGAATATTAAAAAATAGTTCGATGCAAATGAAATATCGCGTATATTCATACACTTTTTCTTAAATACAATTATTAAATATAATTATTTCAAGGGCAATTTAACGGACACTTTTATCGGATTATTATGAACAATATAATAGCTATGTAGTTCTCTTCAAGTGTTTGTAATCGCATGTAGAGGAAGTTGACTTTTGCACGTTGATGCCTTGTATAATATAGGTTAATTGTATTAACCGCGGATTCAATTCGTAGAGGAAGAAGATCAAAGCATCTGGTCAAATGGTGCAATTCAATTACGCCTCTCGTGACGTTGTTTTGTGAATGGACATCATCTATCAAATAGCGTCACCGATAAAACAGTATGCATACGTGAAGGAACACTGTAGCATTTGATCAAATAACTGTTATTTTCTTTAAGTACGCGCGCGCGCGTGTGTGTGTGTGTGTGTGTGTGTGTGTGGGGTGAGTGCGCGCGCGCGCGCGCGCGATTTATATATTTTAATACTTAGATTGTGTGTATATACGTGTATGCATATGATTTAAATCATCAAGAATATATATAATTGCTTTTAGAAAAGTAATTGCTCGTACCTATGTTATTCATATCAAAGTACATATAAGATATAAATAGAATATGAGCATATAAAATTATATAATTACATTTTATCTCCTGAAAGCTTTAGTTGCTATCTTCAAAAAAGGTAATTACGAGTATTATCCGAGTACATTACGAGTATTATCCGTATCATGACATTCAACAATGTACGACATGGATAATACTCATAAATATATTAACTTTTATCCTTTGAAGTCTAATGTGAATTACATAAATTATAAACGTTTGCGCAATATGCAATTCTGTATATCCAAATTACAATTAATATACTCGTATAAATTATTCTGAAATATAATTGTATTCTCGTAAATTTTTTGTAAAACTGATATTTTTAAAAATTTTAATATGTAATTAAAATAAAATTTTGACTCTTTCATAAAGTTTTCAGGATTGGAAAATCAAAAACCTTTAAATTATATCAAAATTTTAACATTGAAGTATTAACCTTGTAGAAGTTGCAGAAGAAGATTCGGATTATCTGCTACACTCGCGAGTTAAAGGAAAGTCTTTTTTGCAGTCCCGTTATGTATGCAATGTCATTGGACATTATTACTGAGAAGTTAATTGTCTTCAACGTCACCACTGAGATTTAAATATTGTAATTTCGATTGCATAAAAGACAATTGTGAAATCATAGGGCAAAGTATAATCTATATTTTGTTTCTCATCACTGGATCAATTTAAATGTTATTTTTTTTATTCTTTATTTCTTACGATTAATCATGATTTTTTTCTTAAACTAGATTTTTTTTAATTTCAAGTTATAATTTGGAAAATAGTAAATACTTTTCGTTTCAATTACTTGTAACTTTGGATAAAATTTATGTTTTAAAAGTGAATAATTAAGTAAAACTTCATTTCTAAAAAGATTTTTAAAAATATGTACAAATCGGTTCAATAATTCAATAATTGTTAAAAAATATATAAAGATAAGATATATAATTTTACAGAATGACATTTTCATATCTTTTGAAAAAAATTATATAAATAAAATCTATTGACTGTAATTTTTTTCAACAAATAATCAATATGAAATTTTTGATCAAACAAGAAGACATTCGATTTATAATTTTATATTCATTGAAATATAACCGAAATTATTTCGACAATTAACTTTACTTCTTGATTCTCTCATATGTCTTATCTTTACAAAATTCTTTACAAAATCTTTACAAAATATGAAGATTATATGTGCGTTATATATTTATTATAATTATCATATTTGATAACAACATAGTTATAATTATGATAACATAGTATACGAATCTGTTTCATTTTTGTTTTGTTACGGTTTGATTCGCAGAATTTACAGAAATGCGATAAGCAAAATCGCGTAATTTAGCTTATATTACTACTACAATGCAACATAATACGATCCTCACAACGATAGCATGGATCATATCACTCGTTGCTGTGTGTGATATAAATCATAATCAGAAATTATAATCATAATCAGTGAATAAAATATAACGTTAATTCAATGTGAGATTATCACTTTTTTTTAATCATTAGAAAAATTTGCCTTTTTATATATAAAAAAAATTTTTGTTTTTTAAATTACTTAAAACCACTCAACATTTATATGAAAAAGAAGAAGAGTTATTTGTTACAAAAGATAACAAAATGCATGTAACTGCTTATAATGTCTTAAGTCAGGAATAACGATTTCTAAAGTCACTATTTGTAAAGTCAATAATGTATAATAAAAACATGCTTGAACGAATTTTTAACAAAAGACAAAAGCAAAATCCGACTCCGCCAAACATCGACAGTTCGTCTCCTAATTTCGATTAGCAACTATTCCATGATTCGAACAGCCTCAGGTTGTAAATGAACGAAAGACAGCGGTATAGCCGCGTGAGTGTACCCTTCGGAATGGCCCTAAGTTACGTAATGCTGTAATGCCGCCGTTTAACGCCAATTGACCTCGTTATACACGTTTGCGCTAAAGGAAGTTTAACAATTGCCATTCAACCGGGCAAACCGTTGTATGCACCGCAAATCAAACACGCTTCGCGTTTCCGTCTTTTTCTAGCTTCGCTTCCACTTATCTTCCTCGGTTGTCGCGTTTTTTGTAACGTAGCAGACATTAACATGGAACCGTGTAAAAGATTTATAATAAATTGAAAGACGATGGACAGAATCCTACCTTATCAAGCGTGCAAATCTACGAAAATCGATTCCTTTTATTTCTTTACGAAATAAAGAGAAGTATTACGTTTCTTTCTTGTTACTTCAAAGCAAGAAACAGTTCATAGAAGTTGTGACAATTGAGACTGAAGTATACAAGAGAAATTTTCTCATGTTGACTATATATTAAGGTTAATTATAATTCAAGGATATATCTTAATACATTTTTCGAAGCTTACAATGTTTATTATTGTGATAAACTTCAATGCTACATATACGGGCTTCTAAGCCAATTAAAATCAAAACAATTTTGCGAATCAACACACAGTTCGCATGTGCATTGTGAGTTTTCATTTTGTTATAACGAAGGAAATAACACTTAAACTGATTGGTTTATTATAAGATAAATATTACTATAATAATATGATATTATATAAAGATATTAGATAAATGTAACTATAATAATTATTATTATACAAATGATATAATAATTAAATAATTCAATATGCAACTACTTTATGTAATTATAATAATTATATAATTTATATTATTATTAATTATAATATATAATAATAAATAATTATTATTAAATGAATTTTGATTAGTATAGAATTAAGTATAGAATATTATTTGTAAATTTTATTACACTTACAGATTTTATGTGTTATTTAAATATAAATTTATATTTTTGTATATTTTATTCATAAATTATTCAGCATACATAATTTTCTATTAAGATATAGATTTATTTGAATTTATTCGGGAACTATTAACTTTTATGAGAATATTAGGTTAAACTTCGAGAAGGGCTCACGTAAAGTGCATTTTTACATGACGCGAGTGCGTAATATTCGTTAGGTCGCTATAGCGACAGCCGTAAACACACCCCAGGATATATAAAGATAGGGCAGTAACCATGATTCGACGATGATCGACGGCGGCGCCGGTAGACTAATTAATTGAAGCTCGCAAACATACGTCTCTTTCATACGCGACGTCACGAATGCCTTTATTTTCTCTAGACGTTCCGTCTCGGAAAGACACGTCATGTCCAGGCATTTAAACCGTTTGCGATTCAAGATAACAGCAACATTATTCCATGAATATTTTATTTGCTATGCTAATTCAATTAGTGTGTGTGTGTGTGTGTGTGTGTGTGTGTGTGTAGTATACATATATATATATATAAGGTGTGCCGATAAATTTATGTATTTATTAGTATAACAAAAAATATTGATAAACATATATATATATATATATAAATGTATTATCTGAATTTTTAGTTAGTTGTAAATAATCGCGATTGTAATTTCATTCGTTTTTTGTTCATAATTCATTTTTCGAACATGCATGTTTTGCTTTTTAATCATTTCTGATCTTTTTCAATACTTGAGCAAAATGCTAAATTGTCAAAATAAATCTATGGATCTAATAGTAAATTTTTCTACAATTAAATATCAACTATACGCGATAGTGCAGACACCTTCGCTTTGGTCATTGACACTATCTCGTGTTAAGAACAAACATGCAGTGGTAGTAAAATACTGGGATTAATCGTTAACATGCCATGCAATAACGACAGTGCACGTCAATAGTTAATAGACAGTGCACTATAGAGACGATGCATGTTTTTCCGTCTTTTTATTCCTTCTATATTTTATAAACTTAGATAACAAGAGAAAAAAAATATACATGAGCGATACTGTTCACAGCGGCAATTATTGTGATGTTTATTCATTTGATATTTCTACGTCATTTATTAATTTGATAGCGGAGTTTATATTGCATTTTATAAATGCTTTATCGAAGCAGTTTTACAAAAATAGATCATTTATATAAATTAAAACATAAATTTACATAAATTTTCTGCAAAAAAAACCGTTTTCTTCTATTTATTTCACTTCTAATTTTGCTTCATATAAATAATATCGAAGTAAAATATTGTTTGAGTAATCGAAAGATTATTATATGTAGAATAACCCTTGTAACAAAATTCCTATCGTGATAATAATCTTTCTTAAATAATAATCTTTCTTTAATGTAAATTAGTTGTATCAATATATATCTACAAGATTTTTAATTTTATTAACATAAACATTCTCAGAAAATTAATAATCCAAGATCTGTTTCGAATAAAATAATATATATAATATTATTATTTACATTTATAATTATTATTGTAGTTTCATATTTCTTTTATGTAGGTTTGAATCATTTCGCAAGTTATCTTACATAATTAATACATTATTGAATGCGTTATTATATTCCTGGAACACAAGATCTTGAATAATCTTCCGGGTAGTAGATCGTTACGCATGCAATGTATATATTATTTCGCTGTTTTTTTTTCAGAATAATTCGAAAATATTATTTTGTATAATTTATAAAACACTCTTGAGTTGGTGATCAATTATCAGTGTCATCTTACTTATTGTTACTTAATTCTTTAAGATATACATTTTTTTATCGGATTTTTTAACGTACGCTATGAATTTACAAGTAAACTAGTTACAAATCGACTAGTTTTATAATCTGAAATTAATTATTGACAAATTAAAAGAGTTTATCTGTTATAAAAGCTTCACTGTAAAAATCTGAAAATAAATTGTAAGTTCATGTTTATTTCTCTCAGTTATAATAAACAATGTTCAATGTTTTAAAAATGCTAGAAAATAAAAGTAGTACTTTTATTTAATGTAAACCACTAATCGCACGGCGTTAATGGTTAATGGTTCTATCTATGTTCCGTGTACATCTCGTTTAGTCAATTATTATCGCAGGCTGAGTCAACGAAGTAAGTTCGAAATGTTCTGCATACTTAAAGAAAGAGTCATCTGAGAGCATTACGTTGCATTTCTTCGAAAAGTCGATAATTTATTTGGATAACATCGCAATTATAAATTAAATTTATAATTTGCATATAATGAAAAATTAAATAATAAAATAAACCTATTAGAAAAATTATAAAAATTAAATTTTAAAAATTAAATTTTTAAAATTACATTTTAAATAAACATATTAAAATTGAAAAAAACATTACCTAGGTAGATAAAATTATAAACATAAACATGTCAATTATTGGGCTAACTGAAAAAAATTATCTTGATTATTAAATATCAATTTACTTAATTGAAAAAAAAACTGTAAATCTCTTCTTATATTATTATGATTACACACTAGGATTTGCTTAACTGAAGTTATTATTGTATTAAAGCACATTCTACACGTGCGTGTTTAAAACCACTTATAAATTTTTTTTAATAAATTTTCGCTTGTGTTCGACATTATTCATTAATTTTTCTCATATTTTTAAAAACTCGTGGAGAATGAAAGAAACAATATTGCATTACTGCGTATTTTTGTTAAAGAAGAAATCAACACTAGTCAACTTCGCGAAGAAATCTGTAAAGAAAGTACGCGACTTCTGACACGCCCTACACATATTTCTCTCATTGTATTTAAAAACGCTTGCGATATACTCCAACCTGATAGTATTAAAATATCGAAACTTCATTTTCAATTCGCACACGCCGACATAGATGTCTTCAAAGTGATAATCAATGGAAAGTATCGAGTCGCGATTAGAGATTGTTGATACTTTCCCAGACAGTACCGAGTAATGGAGTCGATTAATTAGTTGGTGCGCGGTCGGTCGAGAGACAATGGCGAATTAAATCGATTTTCGTATAGAAAAAAATACAAACTCGTGAGTTTCCCAAAATTGACTTAAGACTCCTCCTTTTGGCAAGAGTGAAAATATGTGTATTGAGGCGTTGTTAAAACAAGTTTACGCCGCGTTTCTCGGATCGGACACGATCTTGATAGGTGTGTCCGTGCCTGAGAGGAATCAAGCAATATCGATAGCGAGTCAGCGAAAGTATCGATATTTCCGCATCATGATTCCTCCGATGGTATCACATTTAATTTCTTCCATATTTCGCGTGGAAATCCTAAAGCTGGCAACACTGCGCTTACCCCAGCTACTGGCGGTCCTGCCCATAAACGCGCCGGTCTCGCGGTTGAACAGGAAGGTCTTCATGGACTGACCGACCGACATGCTCGGTGGTTTCTCGTATGGATTCATCAACTCCATCGCGGTGACCATCTTCGGGTCTTTGGCTACCATCGCGTTCCACCTGTTATTCCGCTCGGTTCACAAAACGCGCGCACCCGCCCCGCGCGTATACGATACTTCGAACACTCTTCGAGCGAAGTTTTCCCTCCTCCGAGTTCGAAACACTCCGCCACTGAGGAACTCTGCCCCGGCGATTCGGGCGCCTCGCGATTTTCGCTCCTCTTCTCGTTCCTCCGAACGTAATTCGAACGCTCGCGACTACCAAACACCGTAGATTACACCGACGTCGCCAACAGTTGGTTCTTCGGCGCCACCAGGTTGACTAAACGCGCCCAAGCGCGCCACGACCTTCCTCCTCTTCCTCCTCCTCCTCCTCCTCCTCCTTCTCTTTCGCTTCCTCCACTCCTTCCACTCCTGCCTGTTCTTTTCTTGCTGCCCCTCCTTGACCGCAGGTTCGGACCCAGTTCTCCACGGGACCTAGGTGCTGCTTGAGATAAGAGTGTAAAGATCGTTTTTACAAAAGATTTTAATAAAACGTACGCTCACATTGTCTAAAATTGTCTAAATCTAAATTTTATTTCTTTAAATGTAGTCTAATAAAAATGTATAATGGCAAATACATCTAAAGATTCTATAAATATCACACATAATTTGTATACACATACACATACACTACAGTAAATATGCCTAGAGTATGAAATAAAAATAATACTGGAGCGAAACATATCGATGTTTTAAAATAATTAAAATTATATATAAGATAATTATATACAAAATCATAATTTTCAAATCACAATATTTCACGCTTGATAAGCTATGCTTTCTGAACTGTTGAATTTTTAATTAAAGACAGAGAAACTTCTTTGAATACATTTGTATTTTATTATTTAATTTATCATGTCAGTTGATCTTAAATGATTTCTATTATCTTGAAAGTTCAAAAATAACGTTAATCAAATTTTTTATAATCATTATTAGATATTATTATTACTTCTTAAAGCTGAACAATGCCAAACAATATTGTTTTTAAAGGCAACAAACATATATTTAAGTATTTTTTATTAAATGCTTATACAAAAAGATAGATGAAACTTAATCATATTAATTAATTTATTTAATATAAAAAATATTTGTATAATAATAAAGATTCAGTTTATATGAAGATGGTAATGCAATGCCATTCACATTACCAATGAGTTTTCAGTTAATGAATTTTTCCGTTTTTATGCATAATCAACGCTGGAGCATCAATGTTCTAATGTTCGCATTTAAAAGCAATTTAAAAGCGATAAAATTGTTCGTTTTTCCACAGACCTCAAACACGTCCTATGCACCATAACGTAACATGTTGCTCCTATTATGACGTGGCAGGTCGCAGCTGCAGGTGCGTACATGTTTTGTCAATGATGGTACATTGACACTGTGTATAGTAATATACATGTATTATAATCAGTAACGTATTTCTTCTTTTCAGAACCCTTGATTTCCATGCATACAATATACAACGTGCACTCAGTGGCATACTTGACAGTGGCATATTGCAACTTTGAGGAAACGAGATATATATTTTTTATTTAAGTAAATTATTACTATAGTAAAAAGAACTTTTATATATACATTTATGTAACTTACACACACACACACACGCACACGCACGCACGCACAAAGTTGAACACTATATTAGAAGAAACTTATTATTTTATTAAGGTATAATGATTCTTATATTTATTTTTACAAATTAATGTTATATATTATATGTTATATATTATTTTCGTACTAAATGCTGATAAAATAACGAGAAATAATGAGTTTTTTTACAATATAGTGTAAGTCAGTTTATTTCATTCTGTCAATTCATTACAAAATTGAAGCTATTTAGTCTCAACAATTTTCCGATTGCACTCTATTATATTTTATTAAAACGTAATGTTGTCAAATACATCTAAAGTAATATAAAAAGAAATACATCGATACAATTTATCTTCAATTTTTGATTTTATATATATATATATATATTTAACTTTTTATACATAATTAATTTTTATGCGTAATAACTGCTTGTCGATAAGTTTAATTTTTTATTTCTTTAATATGTGTGTTCCAAAATATTGTTTTTCTTTACAATCTGGATATATGCAAATAACAATTTGTCAAAAATAATATTTGTCATGTAGTAATGAAATCTGACTAAAGCCAATCAAATTAATTAAATCTAATTATTGGAATATCAAACACATTAAATATCGAATTTTTTTATTTGGATGTGTCGTACTCGTTTTATACTTGTGTTATACCCGTAATATATTTAGCATCTTTAGCATTAATCTAGGATAATTTTCCTATTATTTTTATTAATAATATGCCAATTTCTTCTTTAAAATTTTAATAATACATTTGGATGCATTTGCATGTTCTATTTTGATACTTCTTAATCTTCCGTAGCAAAATAATAGTATGGAAGGTTGCAACGAATTAGCACCTCTACGAATTATTAATAATATCTATCCTCACTCGATTTCCCATAATTTACCTTATCCATATCGCGATTTAAAAAGCCACGAATACGATTTCCTCAGCTGAATCGTCGAACAAATTGGGGGCTAAGGTCACACAACTCACGTGTGTGTGACCTTAGTAGTCGCGATGGCACGCGTGTGCGCGGCTTGCAGCGACTGTTCGATTAGCGGTCCACTCCACTCCCTTTATCACACCGGGACGAGCTAGGCGCGTGTAATGTGAGTCACATACGGAGACCGATCTGAATTGACCACATCCTGCCCATTTTGTCATGTGACATTAATGTCATTGCCGTCCTGACTGGAGAATTTCGAGCGAAATAGACGGAAGAATCAGCGTCGCTTCTCGGCTCTTAAGTGTCTCGACCTCGTACGAAAGTAGCTTCCTTCTCTGAAATCGGAGATTCGCTAAGTTAAGATACACATTTATTAAAAGTAGTGCACGCTTGTGTACACTAGAACGATTTATTATTGCACAAGCAGCGACTTTTTTCTAGACTCCTCGGCTACGCAAGATATCTCACATAAAGCAGTAAAAAAAGATTAAATTAAATCAGTGAACTTCTTTCAAAGTAAGATGTATTTAGTATTATTTTTGTTGTCGTATAGTAAAATAAAATATTCAAACAATTTTGTAGATTCGATTTATTTTCCATAACACATGTTAAGTATAATAATGTCATTAACAATCATGCCTATCATATGCCTTATTAGCCAATTGTGTTTAAATCTTCCGCCATCTACACTAACGTCTGCATTTGAAAATGAAATTACACAGAATAAGAATAAAATATGATCTTCCTCCAGATAATTTGAAGTATAAAAAAAAAAATAAATGAAATTTAAAAAATATATTTTAAATTTCATTATAATTTTATATTTGCAGTTTTCTGCAATTATAAAATATTTTTACACAAAACAAAAACTTTACACTTTTAAAAAAAATTTTAAACAAATTGACGTTAACATAAAATATTTCATTACGCTTTTACAATTACTATTTTCATGAAAATATCTACTTATCATTATTTTTATTTGCAAATTTAAATTTTATTTGTCAGTTTATATTATCTTCTATTTATAATCTTTAAAATAAGACCAAAAAATTAGAATAACTAATTGTATAAAATTGCAAAGTTAAATATTATAAAAATTATTAAAAACTCTTCTATAAAAATATTTTTTGCTCGAAAAACTATTTAATTTTTAGATTTTTATAACTAATCAATTTTTAGATTCATTTTAGAATTCTTTTTTTAAATTTTTTTATTAGATTCATAAATTGTAATCTTATTTTAAACTTACAATTTTATTAAAAATCATGTGCAATTAAAATTAGAAAAAAATAGATTTTTTTTTTAAATCGTAATTAAAATTTAGAAAAAATACATTTAGAAAAAAGTATCGATCATAAAAAAAATAATAAAAGAATAATAAGAGTAACAAGAAAAAGAATAATAAAAAAATAATTAACAACTTAATAAAAAAAACATAAGATTTGAGTTTTGTCATTATATGTTTCAATAATTTTACAATTATATTCTATATCTATTTTTTAAATTATCACTTAACGTAGCTATTTTATTAGTTCGTAGTAGAACATGTTTGATCAAATTGTTTACTAAAAAAATTGATAATGGCTTTAGATAGCACTAATCATGTAACATTCAATAACAATTTGTTAAAAATTTATCAATTATCAATCATATGCCAGTATTATAATTATAATAAATCTAGATATATTTAATATATCTAGCGGTATAATTATCTTAATCAACAATAACAAGCCTATATCATAAAAACGCTTAAATTAATGCTAACAATTCCTTTGAGTACAATTTGAATTACTTTATTCTATATAACGAAAACATCTTCTAATATCTAGTATAGCTGTATATATAATCTTATGGACTAGCTATGTCTTCGACAAACTAACAGAAAAATGCTTATCCTTATATGAACTTTTAATACATTTTTCTAAATTTCTGTCCTTTAATTTTTTTTAAGGTTTGAATGTGTATACTTTCGATAAATCTTTTTCATACACATATAATGTGATAAAAAATAAAATATGTTAGAAAGAAAAGTAATTACAAAATTAATTATGAATAAATGAAATAGAATATCCTTTAAGAGTCAAAAATAAAATTATCCTTGACAAATCTTTATTATATTAAACTTATTATTATTATAAACTTAATTATATATTTTATATTTCTGTGACATATATGTAACCAATTTTTAAAAGTTATATCTTTTGTTTTTTATTGATAATAATGCAATTGCAAAGCTTAATATAAATTTTTCAACAAATATAAATAATAATAATCAAGTTAATGATCAGTAAATCTTGGCAAAGTTATCATGTTATCTCATATTACATCAATGATATTCAATGAACGTTCAACTGTATATGTAAATATATCAGTCCACATTTATATTACGTCAAATTCTTATTACTGTATTGACATTTATAAATATTGATTATGTGAAATCCACTTCATTCTATTACATTGCATTATATAATGTTGGTATGTATAATTATTCCATATCATATGTAGTGAGTAAAAATAGCATTTGCAGACTCCATATTATTTGGAATAATTTTATAAGAAGCAGAAAAATATTATTACAAAGTGTTCATTAAACTACATTATTTTTATTTATATATTAAACAAAGCACATTGTAGCAACAGATTTCTTTTCTTTTTTTGTAAAATTATCCCAAAAAATGGGTTGTACAAATATCCTTTTACTCATTGTATGTATATGTAGCGAAGAGTAAAATTACATTCTTAATGTATTATTTCAATATTATTATTTCTA